CAACATGGCCGGAAGGGCTCTCGCCTTTTGCGAGAAAGGCCAGAGCCGATGCGATCGACACCGCAACTTTAAAAACATAGCAGGAAACATACCGGGGTTTAAACGTTAAGCCACCTGTACCTACTACCCGTTTTAAGTGGTGCAGATTTCCCCTGCGTGCCCCAAAACAAAGATCTCACACGACCATGTTATATTTCTTTTAACCTAACTTAGGAAGTTCTTCTCTGCGAAATTTGCGTGCATAAGCCGAAACACAACAGAAAAGAGTACCATTGTTTTTTTTTTTCAATGCAGGCTGAAGCATGTTCAAGTTCTGGTGCCCTGGGAAAGCATGAATGCCTCGATCCCGAGAGTTCTCTCACCACCCCTGGAATAAAGAAGTCCCTTTGCAATGTCCCCCCCCCAAAAAAAAATAAAGAAAGAAAGAAAATGGTAATTTAAACCACCGCGCGGAACGTTAACAGCAGCATTCTTCAGGGGCCGGGGAAGGGTCGGTAGTGCAAAAGAGGAAGAAGTCGGTGGGCCCAAGAAAAAGAATCAAATGGAGTGCAAAATATCCTTCTAGTTTGTGTCGTGCATGTGTTTCGACTAGGGACGAAAATGCACGAATGCTGGAAGTAATGACAAAAGTACTGACGTGAAAGAACAAGATAGAATAGGGACATTTCAGGAGATTCGCACGTACGTCTTCAGGCACACTTAAAAAAAAGGTTAGAGAACATAACTGCACAAGACGAACCCCAAAAACACAATGTGCCCTTATTCTGAATGTATAAGACCTATACCTCTGCTACGATACAGTCATATTGTGTTGGGGGAAAGACAGTAGCCCATATGCCCAGCGGTTTCGCTCAAGCGGATGCATACATCAGTTGAAATGTATAGGTTGCTCAAGGCCTTCTCAGGTATAGTCACTGCAACCATCTAGGAAAAAGAAATTATATCAAGGGACAACTCAGGCTCTGCCCTGTCGAGAACTAAATTCATTGCCAGGGCTTTTACCCGCTATTACCTTGCGTAGAGTGCACGGTTAGTGCAGCTGCATTTGGGGGGCAACTTTCTTTCTTTTTGGGGGGGAAGGGGGGAGGGGAAGGGGGGGAGAAGAATTAAGGGTGTTGCAAGGCCTCTGTCCATGTGCCGAGTGGACCCTCCAGGATTGAGCGCTTCCCAACTTCAACTTCACATACAGCAGTAATGACCATACATTCTAATGCGGGCGGGGAGGACAGTTGTTTCCATCTCCCATGGGCTGCAGATATAAAACCCGCACAGCCCCACGATTTGCCCGGCCACATGAACCTTTTCCATATGGTAGACCGAACCTCTAAGCACACGGCATGTATGAACCGCCCAAACACATCGAAACGACCCAGGCGGGAAACGTACAGGTCGTTGGTTACTGAAGTAGCTGGGTGGTATGGAAACCCACAGGTGGTTTAAACCACCAGTACTTGGCCCAGCTATTGTCCGCGGAAAAATAAGAGTAGAAACGTTTGTAGTCGGATGAATTTGGGTGGCCCGTGCGATTCCTACATTCCTGGCTCGTTAACGGGCACGACTTTAGGAACTACAGGTGTTTTAACAACGACAGTGATGATCTAACTAACACACACAACACCCCGAGTAATTGCCCCCGAGCCTAGCGCAGACAGAATTCCGGTTCGGAACCGCTTGTGCTGGCAATTCTCAATGAACACGTCTAGATTCAGGTGTTAAATCCAATTCTGTTCGCTAGTGAGACCTCAAACCAGGAGAAGTAGGCACCTACACAGGAAGGATTGACTGAACAAACGGATTAACAGGTCGGAACGGAAATTGAGAGGTTTCTGTTTTGTTCTGTGCTTAAACTCTGCAGGAAAGATACCCCTACCAATAGGCTTTCTTTTTGGTCGTCGACTTAACAAAAAACAAAAGTGCAAGCTGTAGACGTCGCAGCTTGCGACTCGAGGAGTGAGGATGAAGCAAGGAGGAAAGCAGGAGTGGAGGAGGGAATTGTGGCGGGGAGGGAGAAGAGAAGGGAAGAGCAGAGGACAATGACTCGTCAACGAAATTGACAAGTCTGAAAAAAAAAACAGAAAAAAGAAAAGAGCATGGGCTGCTTATGTGGCAACGGCGCCAGAGGACAACAGAGGGAGGAGTGAAGAACAACGAAGGATGTGGGGCGGGAGACGGAAGAGAGGAGCAAGGGGAGGTGGGGGTCTTGTCCACAACGTCCATGTATTCAACAAAAAAAAAAATGCAGGCCGCAAATGTGGCAACCCTGAATCGAGGAGGTCAGAGGGCGGGTCCCGGAGGAGGAGGAGGGGGAGGAGGAGGAGGAGGAGGGCAGGCCGTTATGTTTAGTGAGCTTGCCACCTGGTGGCAGGGGTGTGGGACGGCCCCCGGGGGAGGCGGGGGGGTCAGCATTCAAAAATGTCAAAATCCAAATCGTAGCGGTCGAAGAGTTCACCCGCACACAACTTCGAATTTGAAATCGCCCCGCGTGGGGTCGCGCCGATGGTGGCTGGATTCAACTTAGCAGAAGATGACAGCAGGAAGTTGACGATCATTCACCAACAGATCACTTTTATGGCACTACGAGGGTTGCACTCGTTGCAGGACTTAACCCAACATCTCACGACATGAGCTGACGACAGCCATGTTGTAAGTTACTTCATATTTCTCTACGCCCCTTCCGGGTCACGTTCGGGAGAGATTGCTGTTTGTCTTGTCTCATCCCCTTCTTTTTCCGTTCCTCTTTTGTTTCCATCTCTTGTGATGTGTAATGCACTTGCTGTGCAACACTCTCATGAACTGAGAATTTGCTTGCTTGCCTTCGAATGTAGAGGATCAGACCATTACCCGTGTGGGCCATGGACCTCCCAAGACGAAAATCAGAAACTCTTTTTTCTACAAGATCTAACAACCCACACAGGTACCTTTTCATTCCCGAAATACCATTACCCCTATCGAGCCCCTGACAGACCTTCAAGATCTAAGGGCCCAGACAGGTGCTTATTTATTTCCGAAATTCAACTACAAGGCCTCGTCAAAACTTCCGTGGAGTGCACCCCTTGGCCCCTAAACCACCAAATCGTGAAACCAGATCCGAGAGCGGTGTTGCCTTGTGCTGCCCGTCCGCTTGTCACCGCTCCCGAAGCAACCCTCCCGCTCCCGAAGCACAAGGCAAAACCGATCCCAAAAAACCCCACTCCCAACGCACAAGGCAACACCACTCCCGAAGTAACACCGCTGCCAAACCAAAAGGCAACACTTGGCGCCTAAACCACCACATCGTAAAACCAGATCCGGAAGCGGTGTTGCCTTGTGCTGCCCGTCCGCTTGTCACCACCGCTCCCGAAGCACAAGGCAACACCTCTCCCAAAACAACCCCGCTCCCAAAGCACAAGGCAACATCGCTCCCAAAGCACAAGGAAACACCGCTCCTGAAGCAACACAGATTACCAAGGGTTCAGCCTCCCAACGAGTCAGTGATCCAACAAAATAATCTTTCCTTTTCTTTTTTAACCACCACTACCTTTCCCATACATCGGCCGCAGGCGAGGCCCTGCAAGTTCGGGAGGCCGGTGACGCAAAGATGGGCGCCGACGAGTTTCATCACTGTCGGCCCAACGGCAACCCGTCCCCAACGAATTCGGTTTAGGATATATTCCAACTTGGGACCACACTGTGAAAGGTAGTGGTGATTTATACCCGACGGACCATCGATCAGATTTTAAACTAATCATCATCAGTTGTCTTTTTTTTTTTTTTTTTTTTTTTTTTTTTTTTTTTTTCGCTTTGTAGTTTTCGTTGTTGATGATTTCTTTCATTGTGGTTCGTGTACAATGTGCTTCCTTCCTGTAGCTGTTTCGTGTTGTTTGTTTGCCCACACACCTCCCCCACTCACCTCCCCATTGCCCACCAGCACATGCCGCTCAACCTCTTCTCATTCAAAGTCTCGTTGCTTTGCCGCCCTTTACTTAATGCTTTGTCATCCTTTGCAGCTACCTGGTCCACTGGCTGTCTGTTGCCTTGCTTGCTTTTCTCGTCCTTCGAATTGCTGCTTAAGGCTGCTTGCTTTCCATTCGCCTTTAGCCTTGCGGTCGTGCGGTCTAGTGCCCCCCC